CTTTTGAAAATCCTGTAAATAAGAGAATAATGAATTAATGCTTGCAGTACCAATATTCAAAATTCAAGCATAATTAATTACTTTTAATTTTCATTAGAGTTGAGATCCCTTGTGCCATGATCTGTAATATTGTCAATTCAAACATTCCTTCTGGATAATTATGTTTTGAATTTGTTTGGATGTTTTTGGTTGATAAGGCATACAGTGTAAACAGCATTATTATAAAGAATGGACAAAATGTATGAAAGATTGCAATAAAAAAAATGTATAAAAATAGTTTACCTACAACAACCATCCCTTAGTGCTAACATCTCTGTTACATGTCCAAAACTGAATATTTAATGCTTGCAATCACTAAATATGTACAAGGTGTGTAAAGGTGTAAAGTATACAAAGGTCCATGCGATAATATGGTAATACATGTTGGTGCAACGAAGCATGTGATGCATAGTTGTGTAGCGTAAGCTCTTCATTGTACATTCAACCTCCAATTCCAATTCTCCTAACTTTACAATACAATGCAATACAAACTTTAGTGACACTCCCTAAGAGGGCTTTTCAGTGACAATTAATAATTACAATAATAAAAATGTTTAATCTATAAAGCTAAAAATAATTACGAAAATTACAACTAAGAAACTTTAAGAAGGTACGATAAAATGGGTAAGATAAAAACTAAGAAACTTTAAAAAAGGACAATAAAAAATATAGGATATGATTAAAAACTAGGACCAAGGAGAAAGAAAAGCAGCAAATAATTTGGCCCTAAGTTTACGCTTAAAATTAGAAGAAGAATCACAAAGTTTAAGATCATTATCTAAACTGTTCCACAGGCTGACAGTGCGATAATAAAAAGTTCTTTGTCCAGATTTAGTTTTGTATAATGGTATGTGCAACAGTTGGGAGCTTCTGGTCGTGCGACCGCTAACATTACCGCGCGTTAGAAACTTCGAAGAGAGGTAAGTTGGAGCGGATCCAGTCATACATTTAAAAGCAAGCACAGTGTCACGGAAGTATAGCTGAGATTTAATAGGTAGCCAATGCAGTTCTTTCAAAAGCAGAGTAACGTGGTCAAATTTTCTGGATCCACTAATAATCCGGGCTGCAAAGTTCTGGATCGCTTGGAGCTTGAGGAGGTTAGTGTCAGCAGCATTGGACCAGACGGAGGAACAATAAAACAACTTACTAAATACTAAAGTGTTAATTATAGTAATTAAAGTGGATCTGTCAAATACGTGCTAAACACGATTAATCTGGGCGAAACTTGAGAAACAGGTGGAAACAGTTTTAACAATGTGCTCGTGGAAAGTTAGGTTCGAATCAAAAATCACACCTAGGTCTTTAACGACGTGCTCCAGTGTCAGCTCTTTTCCTAAAAGGGAGAGACGGATATCGGGGAGGTTTAGTAGCCTTTGTCGACTTCCGTAAACAATGAGTTTGGTTTTATCAGGATTCAAAAGAAGATGATTATTGTAGCACCAGTTTCGAATATGTAAAAGATCGGCGTTTAAATCGGTGACAGATTTAGCCCAGTCGTGGACTGGGAAAGAAATGTAAAGTTTTGTGTCATCGACGTAACTTTCAGTAAAACAGGAAAGGGGGGCGAGTGGTAAGTCGTTTACATAAATACTGAACAACATAGGTCCAAGAATGCTTCCTTGAGGCACACCTGATACAACAGGTAGAGGATCAGACAACTCAGAATTTATGCGCACAACTTGTCAGCGGTCGGAGAGGTAGCTGGTAAACCAAGCAATGCTTGATGGTGAGATTCCAACATTCAACAGTTTATTGAGCAATATTCCATGGCTTATAGTATCGAAGGCTTTGCTCATATCAAGTAAAACAACAGTGGTAACTTTCTTCTCATCCATCGCACTTAAGAGAGTATCAGTAGTTCGTATTAAAGAGGTTTCCGTAGAGTGCAATTTCTTATTGCCACTTTGCCGAGTTGATAACCTTTCATTTGACACTAGATAAGGCATAATTTGATTAAGCGCCGCCCTTTTGCATACTTTCAAAAGGATGGGCAAGAGAGAAATAGGCCTATTCTTGTTAGGTTCTTGGTGATTTCCATCTTTTAGGATAGGCGACACGACAGCTAATTTCCAAGATCGAGGAAAATTTCCATGCTTGAAAGAAGTGTTGATTATGGATGTAATCACTGGGAGAGTAGCAGGAAGGCTATCTTTGATTACACGTACTGGAATGTTGTCAATCCCAGATGACTTATTAGCTGGCATTGACCTGACAATCTGGGTGACCTCATAACAATCCACGTGCGTAAAATTGAATTGATCAGTCACTGGGGAAATTGCAGGATCAGGCACAGGTGGCGAAAGATCAAAATTGCATTCATTAGCAAGTGAATTAATCTTGTCAACAGCAACTTGGCCAACAGGCGTAAAGAACCGATTAAAATTGTTTGCGACGGTCCTGGCATCTTTGTTAAATGATCTCACGCTGGCAGACTTTTTTGGAATGAAAGATCAAATAGTCTTCCACAACTGGCTTGAGTTGTTGGGATTGCTTGTGATCTGGTCCGCAGCGAAAGCACGCTCAGCTGATCTTATTTTTCTCTTGACAAAGAGAAACTCTAGGCTTGTCAAATTACAAAGAGAAACTGTGAAAATGGGTCATACATCTATGCAGCATATAAGTCAATCATATGGACAATAATTGACAATTTATTTCGAAAAACAAATACATTCGATCACTAAAAACCATTTACTATCATAGATGATAAACAAAGGTGATGTGTTCCTTATGAAATGAATGCTCCAACTTACCCAATTTAACTCCTGTCAGCCATCTTTTTTTCTTGAAGTCTTTAATGTCTTTATTCCATCATAAGATAAAACTACATATCTTATGTTACAATGAATTGAAAAAACTACAGAAATCTACATACATATTATGAATTAAAAAGTATATCATCACAATAAATGGAGCTTAAATATCAACCTATTTACAAATGTGTTCATAAAGCGCTGTGTATTAATTTTCGGGCGCATGCAGCCTTTTTTTCCTGAGATTGTGTAGATATGTCTTTTGGACAGGAATGATATCTTTCAGGGGGTGGCAATCCGTTGATTTTAGTTTCTTCAAAATGTTTCTGTCTTGTTTGTTTAAAAGGTTCTTGATAAAAACTGGAAATGAGATAAAACCGCGTTCATGACATTGGTCTAAAAATTTTTGTACAACCGTAAGATCGGACTCAGATGCCCCATAGACTGAAAGTGCATAGCTAAAATTAGCCAAAACAATCGATATAAAAAGATGATCAATCTCTGCCTGAGAGTAATGTTCCTTTCTCAATGTTCGTAGGACGTGTAAACACTTGTTTGCTTTGACAAGCTTAGTTCTTACATGCTCATCAAATTTTCCATCACTCTGTAAAGTTACTCCTAATAAAACGAAGCTATTACATTGGGGAATATTATTAATTGGAGAGTAGAGTACATTATGATTTTTCTTTCTAACAACCAGCTCTTTACATTTGCAAGGGTTGCAGACCATTCTATTGTCTTTACACCATGTTAAGAACTGTCCTACTAAGTCGGCAGACGGGTCACTATTCCTAGTGATAGGCGAAAGAATAGTGGAATCATCGGCATATTTAAAAAGCACAGGGCGACCATTAAAAAAAAATCTCCAAATCGTTCAAAAATATATTAAAAAGATACGGTCCGCTTACACTACCTTGTGTGGTTCCTCTATTGACAAGTTTCCACTGTCCTAAAAATTATAACTAACAACACGCTGTTGTCTTGCATAGAGGAAACTATGATACCAATTGATAATGTACGGATTTAGAGGTAGCTGTTTCAGTTTGGCAGACAAAATAGCATGGTTCACAAAATCGAAAGCCTTACTGAAGTCCATGGTAAAAATTCGCACTGCGCTATAGTCACTACTATCTAAATACTTGTATGTCTGGTGCTGGATAGCGAGCAAGGCATTTGTGCAACTACCCGCCTGTCTATATGCAAATTGGGTGTGGCTCAGGTTGCTCTCAATGACTGACTGTGCTTGTGTACGATACACGACCTTCTCAAACAACCGGGCAATAACGGGGAGTAACATTAATACCACGGTAGTCCGAGTCCTCTATAGGCATGTTCACTTTGGGGAGAGGGTTAACATTTGCCCTTTTCCAGGAGTCTGGCCATGTATGAGTAGACAGCGACAGATTCCAAACGTGAGTGACGATTGGTGTGAGTAGCTCAGCACAGTCTTTCCAGATCCAGTACGGGAGGTCGTCTGGTCCCGTTGCGGTTTTCTTTACATGAACTAAGGTATTCCAGACACACTGCTCAGATATTTTCGGGGGCTTTACACTGTCCGGGATATCCATATCACTAGGTCTAACCTAAGTGTCATCATAGCACAGGTTGGCGAAGTAGTCGTTCAGACGAACTAGAGAGTTCTTGTCCAAATTTATCAACGATGACCTGCGACGCTGCGATAGGGCGTCCACGCCCTTCCACCACTCACCGCTACCAATGGCAGCCAGTTTTCTTCTGTTCTCGGTTATCAGCTCAGAAATGCGCTTATTAAATAAAGACAGGCGTTCCTTATTCTTTAAAGATATATGGGACTTAGTCCTCAGCATACACTTGACTAATGGGGACATCCAAACTGGGTCACGCGATGACATGCGTACAGATTTTTTGCGGCATAAACTTATTCATCACTGCACGAATCTTTACCTCAAGCACCTCGACCGCCTTGTTTATGTCCACCTCATTGAGGACGTCACTCCAGTCCAGTGCAGTGAGTGCCATATAAAATGACTGTTTCCGATGTTCCCTACAGTCCCCAAGACGAGAACTTTGCGGCGCATAGGTTTAAGCTTTAATCCCGCCGGTAAAACAAAGCCCTCATGGTCTGTCTTAATAAGCATATGTATGGAATATGCTTGACCGAACAGATCCGCTCGGTTGGTCATACAGTTATCCAAGCACGCGTTACCGCGCATGGGAAAATCAACCACGAAA